TATAGCACTCTTAGGGCCGCGTTATGTCGATAGATATAGGCCGAGACCGAATATGCTGGGCATGCTGATAGCAAGTGCGTTAGGGTCTCGGACGCCTCGCGGCAGGCCCTGCACCTTGTGTCAGGAACCTCTATACCCATCACGCGACTGCGGTAGACTAAGGTGTTAAAGACACCATCCTGGCAAGCCATGATGAACCCCTCAGTTTTCGACTTATGCCCCACTTATTTTTATTATTATTATACGAAATCATTATATCGAATTATTCCATTTGTTTTACTACCGAAACCTGTGCCACTCGAAGAAAGACAAAAGACATTCTTTGGAATCGTTCGTGCATACCATGCTGGGGTTTGATATGCAAATTCACATTTTTTAAAACATGCGGAGACATCAGTTTAAAGATGTCCACTTGACGAAGCAAGCCTTGGAAGCTGGAAGATGAGCACAATGCACGTGAATTCATGTTAGAAACAGTTGTTGCATGCGTGCGTTAATTAAGCAGAAAATTGTAATTTCTCAATGGAGTTTATGGTTGAAGAATTTGAGATGTTGCCAGTCTACCAATCGTCCCAGAATTGGTTTGTTGATAGTATTGGCTTGTTTTAAAAGTTTTGCCCATGTCATTGTCATGCATTTTTGTAGCTGCATATCTCAATAAACATTTATTCTACTGTGGCGTGGTATACAGGCCGTTTTTTTTCCGAATTGTTATTTCAAAGAATATCAAAAAATGAAAGAATAAAATTTTAATGTATTCGAAATGTACTATAACGATCCAATCATAAATATTCGATAAAACGTTCCGTGTTAACATGGCCACAATCAACTTTTTTTTAAATACGGACCTGTTTTTTTCGTTACAGATATCGATAAAGCGATGAATTCACAATCCAAGGTTATATCACTTTTGATATTTTCATAGTGTTTCATTTGAAATAACCATCATCAGTGACAACAATCAAACAGAAAAACATTTTCTTCATCATAGATTTTTGGGAAAAATGAAACAAATACGGAAAACCAAAACTACATGTCAGCAAAGTATTTAGCTGAAAGTTAACATTCCTAGAGCGGAAGCGGATTAATTCAACGTCGCAGATTAATGGAACGTGATATATATCATAAATTACACAAGGTAAGCTTGCCGCTACACCATTCCTATAGTTTTCAAACGTTATGAACTGTGGGAATTACAAACATGGAGTGTGCACAGTAAATAACTCTTATGTGCCTTCTTCAGATAACAACTCGCACTTATGACTTGTGTTCTTGATTCATGGGAACACCGCTGTAGGCGAAATAAATTATTGTAAACGTATCGAGTCAGTGCTGTGCGAAAATGAACGTTCTCTCAGTGTCATGCGAACTGTTACATGAAAAATTGAAGGTGAGTTTTGTAACACCGATGATATCAGCATTTTCAACAATTCATATTTTATTTCGGGATTCAAAAACTATCCTACAGAAAATGACAAAAACATAAAGCAGAATTCAAATTAATTTTAATTCAAAAAAGTAACTGTATCAAATAATAACTCAGTTTGATGATCGCTTGTATTTATGTCTAGTTAGGGAAGCCACGGATTATGCTGTAGACGACCCCTCCCGATACTGAAGGCCCCGACACTCTGTCGAATGAGGCCCTCATGTCCCCCGTTAACGGATGAATAACTTTTTCATCCATCCCACCC